ACAGGAAACCGCAAAATCAACAACCATAGATAAGATCAACAACGCCTTAACGACGGTAGTTTTCGCTCAGTATTTTTGCGGAAATAATAGATTTTCACTAGATTTCTCCCCGTTCTCCCCAAAGAAATGATTTCGGAAAGTGAAGATGAAGCGATGGATTGTACCCCACCTGAATTAAAAGAAGCAGCAGACAGGATTGGAGAGAGTTTGCTTCCAGCAAAAAGCAAATTTCGGTACGAAAAGGCTTTTCAAATATTCGAAGCATGGTGTAGCCAGAAAGGAACGAGAAATACTGCCTCGGAGACCGTTTTGTTGGCGTATTTTGGCGAATTATCTAAGGAAAAGAAGCCTTCGACTTTATGGTCGACTTACAGTATGTTGAAAACCATGATTAAATTGAAAGAGAAAGTTGATATCTCCAATTACGCAAAACTTATAGCTTTTTTGAAGCGGCAAAATCTGGGCTTTCAGCCGAAAAAGTCGAGCGTTTTTTCCAGAGAAAACATTAACGAGTTCCTCACGAAGGCAGCTGAAGAATTCATTAGCATCAAGGTAGGTTTTCAAAAAATATACAAAGAAGATAAAAATGCGAAAATCAAAATGATTTTCTGTATGCTATAGCTAGGTTACCCATTTTATTTTTATCTGGTTTCAGGTAGCGCTAATTGTTGGTGTGTCGGGTGCATGTAGGAGCGATGAACTAGTCAAGATGAAAATGGAGCACGTCAACGTTTTGGAAGGAAAGATCGCTATAGAAATTCCACACACAAAAACTTACACAAGTCGATCGTTTATCATAAGCGATCCAGATTGGGTTGCTATTTTCCACAAATACCTCACTTTGCGGAAAAATTTGAAAAATGACAGGTTATTTGTTCAATGGCGAAATGGGAAATTACATAACCAAGCAATTGGCTATCATTCAATCTCAAAATTTCCACATAAAATAGCTGCTTTTTTGAAGCTTCCAAAAATTGAAACTTTTACAGGGCATGCTTTTCGTCGTACTTCCGCAACCTTATTGGTTGACAACGGGGCCGATCTATTGCAACTCAAAAGACTGGGAGGGTGGAAATCGAGCACGGTTGCTGAAGGCTACATAGAGGCATCTTTGGAGAACAAAAGTAAGACTGCTCTGATGCTATCCTCTACTTCCAAAGGTATTCAGTTGTCCAGTGCATCCACAAGTACATCACATGCGGAAACTCATCCGCAAGCGCAAGAGATAATAGTTCCAAACGAAACACAATTCCAACAGGATGGTCTCAAGATTTCCATTATAAACAACAATGCTAATTTAACAATTAATGTAAATAAGTGAATAGATTTAATTAGTTCCATGTAATACATGTGGTTTTATTATTATATGTGAGAGCTGTATGAAAATTATCAATTTGGAACGAGCAGGGAAATGGGGACGGAAAAGCATTTGCCGTCCCGGACGGAAAATGCTTTTCCGTCCTAGGCAGGCATATGCATTACCGTCCCGATAAATGTCAAAGTCCAGAAATGTGACACTTTCAAGATTTTGAAAAACCTGCAATGTCAACATTACATATGTGGTTGAAAATAAAATTCTTTGCTGGTTTTTTTTTAGCTGTTACAGTGGAAAATGTTTTAGAGGTAGCAATGTTATTTTGCTTCTACAGAAAAGACCACTTTGCTGAAACTACTTTAATGAAACTGCAAAGATATTTCTTATTCCAAAACCAAACTTTGCTGTTATAGCAAAATTAAAATTTTATGAAAATATATCTGCTTCTCCGAAATAGAACTTTTCTAAGATAGATAGATACTTTACTGTTGCAGCAAAAAAAAAATCCTGTAATTTTTGTTATTGTTACAGTAATGTTTTTTGCTACCCTAGCCAAATAACTTAACTAAAAATACCGTTCGGACATTTCCGTGATTTCTTCGGGTCCAAAAATAACCGATAAAATATGTTTCGTGTTCATTTTCTTCCATTTTAGTTTAGTAGCTAACGCCGTACGGTGTGGATCGTGGATGCTGTCGAGTCAAGTCGAGTGTCGGTCGCTGGGAATCTTTTTGGAAATGGTGCCAGCGCATCCATCAAAACTAGCAGAAACAACTCTAGCGCCAAACTTTTCATTAATTGACATTATTTCAGATCAGGTAATTAAAGTTTAGGGGTTTAAATAGAGTTTGTTATTATCTCCTGGTTTTTTTATGATGGACGCGCTACTACATATTTCCAAAGATTTCCAGCAAAATATTTTTGCTATTGGTGAGACAAATGGCTTCCCATGGCTAATAAAATACTTGGCTGATTCTGGCAAGAAATTTTTTGTTCTGAGACAAACGCTTTCCTATTTCAGGAAGCATTTCTAATAACAACAACAAATATCTTTTCTGTCTTAGCAATCTACTTTTCAATAGCAAAAAAGGATGTTTTTGAGGGTATATAACCTCTTTTCTAGGACAGCATAGTTACTTTCCTACGGCAGCAAAGTAGCTTTTCTATGCCAGCAAAGTGACCTTGTAGAAACTGTGAGTAAATTCTTTATAAAGTCACTTTGCTACCGCAAATAAACGGTGCCAGTAAAGTTATCTTTTCGGCGGTAGTAAAGATCTTGGCTGTCCCCTATGTAGCCAAAATTTTTGGCTACGGCAGCAGAAAAATTAGCTATGACAATGAAAAAATTTTCTCAGTGTAACGGCGGTAAACTGCTGAATATACCTAAATCTCGAATCTCTTAAACTCGATATAGTTTGACATCACAGATTTAATAGTCATTTAAAATAGGCTAAAAAATTCACATTTACCAATATTTAGTAATAATAGCCTATTATCTTCACAGAAAGTTAGGATTTCATCCTACATGCCTCTGGAGAAGTATTGAATCATTTTCATTTTCAATAATTATCGAGATCTTTGGAGCATCTGCATATAGTAAGAACTCTAAACTACCCACATAATAAGATATGTCTTAACAAACAACACAAAGAGCAGAGGTCCAAGAACGGATTCCTGAGATATTCCAGACATGGCCACATAGTTCTGAGACTGTTTGAGGCCTATCGTTGATGTATGAGACCTCGTATGAGACCAAATACTTAGATTATCACTAAATGAGAATTGCTTTGAGTTTCCTCATAAGGATGCTGCTAAAACCAACTGGTAACTGATCTAATTACTTATCAGACTTGGGTAACTCTTCCATTGTTTAACTTGTCGGGAAAAGATCTTGTATCCAGCGATTTGTTTATTAATATTTGAAATGGGGTTATCAAGATATCTTTCCACCATCCCTAGATTTTTTTTCTAGTTAAGTAGGTGGGTAGGTACTTCTTTGCTGTAATTGAAAATTTCGAAAATGTCTAAGCAAAGAACTTTCGTGTGATATTGGTAACGGTAAACTGGTGGTGGACACGTACCTTATTCCTCTTTTGACAAGGAAATTGGCTGAATTATTCTTGAGTTCAGATTATTTTCTTGAATGATGTACTTGCAGCATTGTTTTCTGCTATTTGGACCTGTGTTTTGAGTTAAAATTTATTATCCTTGAATCTTCGATATTTCTTCAGGACTGTTTATTTGGCGTTAATTCTCTTTACAATTACATCCGGCTCGTAGGACCAAAATGTTGTACTGTAGGCGTTACTATACATTACGTATTTGTTTTAGTTTTGAATTGATGAAGAAATATATTGACAGAGATGATTTTTTATGTGGGTATATAAATTTCTTTGCATCTAGATTAAAATGAATTCTATGAAGCATATTATTATACCAGATTATCGAAAACCCTTATTAATTTACAATCAGTTATAGGTATTTTACCATTATTGATATTACCTATGTTCATACGAAAAAAATGTAAAAATTTTAGAATTTAATAAAAATGTTACGCTAATCAGGAAACATTTTTTCAAACATGCCAATAAGTGATTATACCACTGACAATACAATGTTAATATTGTTTTCGAAAATGTGTAGGTAATTATAGGAAACACTTTAGCAATAATCAGCAAAAAAAAAATTATATACGTATGTACAAACTTGTTAAAACACTTTGAAGCAAAAACGCCAATAAGTAGCTACTCGTGTAAATTTTAAGTGAAATGTGAAATGATTATTGTTTTCACTCACTAACTACTAATTGCGGGTCAACGTAAAAGGTTTTATACAATCATGTTTTATTTTTATGTCCATAAGGAATTATGACAGCTTATTTTAACTTTTTCACTTAATTCGTGAAAAATACTATAGTTATTTATTGCTTCTTTGATTATTGTTTTTACAACTATGCAATATGATATTTTTTTTATGAATTCATGTGGAAAATTGTAAGAATCTAGAGTTATAGGTTTTCCCAATGGAGATTTTAATTTTTCGGATGTGCGGAACTTATATACTAGGGACATGTCGAGATATCGAGAGTTGCTTCATCAGCAGGCCGCAGGAGAAATAAAAAATATCCGACAAAACTAGAACAGAACTCGACATAAAGGAGATGTTGAACTCTGAAGGATTTCTGATGATGAAGCCTTTGATACATAGGTAGGTACTTGATTATCTATGGTTCTTTAAACATCTCAGTCAATTGTAGGTGTATCGTATACTTAACGTAAATTTCAAGCTATTTTTTGGATCTCTGATAAATGATAACAAGATCTCAAGTAATTTGAACTATTATACCTATCTAATGAGCAAGTAGGTGGTATATCTATTTTTTTGTTGCATTTTCTAAATTTTCAGTGAGCGACGTTTTCAGTGAGCGACGTTTGAAACACTTATGTAAACCACCGCCTCACAATAAAACTTCAATAGAAGTACGGCATTAACAATTTTTTTTTTTTTTTTGTATATATTTTTCGAGATATTTTTGATATTGTTCGCAGAACCTTCTATGACATACTACTTTTTCTATCGGATATAATATAAGTATAGGTAGGTATACTTATAATTTTTCACGTTTCATCTCTATGTAATGATGATATATATACATAGATATTGTTCATTTTTTGATAAATATTACCTGAGTACTCGGTGATGCTCTGAATCCAAACTGGGACATAGTGTCCCAGCCACGAACTTCTTAGTGCCCGGCTTCTGCGAGAAACATGGCAATACCGCCCCCGACAGATCCAGTGACGTGCAATTGGTCCAGAACAGGCAGTGTTACGGCTACCACCAAAGCAAACAGTTCCAAAACTAAATGTTTCAAGTTGTTGCACTGAATCAAAAATACACCGATCACAAAAGTATAAGTTAAGTCACAAGCTGGTGTTACACTTAAGCGCAGTCCGACACTCGTTGACGCGACACGCGTTACTACTGATAGGGTAGCGAAATGTTAAAGAAGTTGTTGTCGAAAGTCGAAAATATACACGTGGCTATAATGATGTAGTCGCGATGTAAAATTCAGTAGCTCGATCGTCAGGTAAATTACCCGGTAGCGTACTTCTTTCGTCTAACCGCAAATTTTTGCCACCGATGATGATCGGCTCCTCCCACCGCGCGCGAGGGAGGTCGGTGGGGTTGGAGGGGCGAGGGGGGTGGTGGGGGGTCGGGTGAGGAAGGCTCAGTTTGTCGGTATGACGCGTCCTCGATTGTGGTTAAATCGTCCTCTTTTTGCCAGCGTCACTTCGCGACTACCGATGTCATGAGATTCTTTTAACTCGAACGACAAATTGTGTGCGCGGTCCGACCGACGTACGATCGGATCGAAAAAATAACGAATGCGGCGGCGGGGAGCAAAGCAAGTCTTATGAGACTACCGACTACACACTGCATTTTTGCGGACTCGATCCTGTACTCCCCTATCGAGAAATATGCCACCACCACAAAAATTTAGCCCTACTTCTTTTCGATCCGGGGCGGGTTTTTTCTCGTCTCCCCACCGCCGGCCGGAACGATTGATGAACTACGGACACGCCTATTTGTGTCGCCCAATGGGAGACAGTGATGGTGTGATGTCTGAGGGAACGTGCGAGAGCGAGCAGCGTGAACACGCGACACGCTCCTCGCGTTTACATTTTGTTGTTCGTTTTCGGTTGTGTTGTCTCGAGTCTTTTCGTTAATGTCAAGCTGTCGATGAGCAGGGCGACGTCGTCGCGATGAATTTCGATGCGATGCTCGACTCTGTTTCGTTGCTCTCCGGTACGTAACGACCGGGAGCGTTTTGCTGGATTAAACTTGCATCGCATCAGGGATGCGGCATGTCGCCAGTCCAATTATGAGATTGCTTGTTTCGCTACTTTATATGCCGTCTAAGCACCTATTTCCTATCTGATTCGAAAGCAATTTTACAACTGATCTGCTTATATCGTTACAATTATCTCATTAATTTATCAACTTACAATTAATTTTGATGAATAAATGTCAATCATTTTGATTTCTAAAAATAAATCTTCGGTTGGGATTTGTTCGGATGACATGACTGCTAATTTTCCTATTTACATTTATATTTACTATAAACAATAAATTACGTGATCAAATATAATATACAGGGCAGTTTAAGTCACCTAACATTTTTTTAATGATTCTTTGAAAAACTTCTGGGCTTGAAGCCAAACCAAACGGTAGTCTTTAAAACCTATATTCACCAAACGGTGTTATAAACGTACAAATTTTGCTACCTTCCTCATCTAGTGGAATATGATAAAATCCATCTTTCATATTTGACGCAGAGAAAATGCTCTTACTCTTACCTTGAAGCTTTCTTCCAATCTCCTCAAATATGGGAATAGGAGGCCTATCTAAACATACATTTTTATTCAAATACAATGGATCCAAACATAATCTCAAACTTCCATCTGCCTTATCCACACAAACGATATTATTCACCCTTCACCCACTCCGAAGGGTCATCAGCCTTCTCTAGAACATCTCTTTGTATCAACTTTTTTAACGTTACTGTCAATTTTGATTTGACTGTACCTGGCAACCGTCTGCAACTGCTTATAGTTCGACAATAATAATTTTTCAGAACAAATTTATACACAAAGGGAGTTTTACCTGTAGTACCCTCAAAACACAACAAAATTTAGCTTGGCTTTTCTTTTTAACACGTTCGCTGTCCAAATGATAACCCATCAGCCAGGCACAAGAGTCCTCCATATAAAAAAACTGATTTCCCATATTTGGGTCATGGGACCCTGTACTTGTTTACAGTTAAAATTTATATGCGAGTGAGACATATTTGGTTCAAGAAAACCTCAAAATATTGCTCCGCATGTTATCAGGCATACTGCCTACCATGCTACAATAAGTCTCATTATTATGTGAAATTATTTTTGTATGTTCCTATAATTATTCTGTACACTAGTCAATGAAAAAAACAAAAAAAAAAAATACCTAAGCTGTCAATGCTTCAAGGCCTAGGTCCATGCCCCAAATATGGGTCAAATTTGTATGTAGGTACTTTGCATAGTTGCCTTGCATACTACAGAGTACCCTGTAGATAACGAGTAGATTAATCGACAGTCCGTCTCAAAACCTAATATGAAATGAAATCCAAACGTGAGCCAAATATGGGACACAAAACTTTCTTACATAATCAATTGGCAATACATAACATTGAGCCCCACGCCCCACTATTTAATTTTATATTGAAAAATTCATTATCGATCAACAGTGTTTCGAACCACTCCGTCTCTTTATCATTATAACTTAAAGAATTTATGTTACCTGCTTCAATAGCATCAATCACCAGCTCACTATCACTTTCGTTCTCGACCTCATGTACATCTGGCCTTCTTCCATTATCTCCTCATGGTTTTGTTGATTTTTAAATTTTTTTCACCCTACTGAAAAATGACCTTCACTATTGCACTTTTTACCAAAGGCAAAACACCGTCCTCTTGCATGGCTTTTTCCGCACCTGAATCAATCAAATGTATCCTCATTCCTTAGACTTTTATTGAACTCCGTTTTCCTTGGATCTACCATGTTTGCTTTATTTACAGCTATTCTCCTATTTATCTCAAAATCAACTTCTTGTCTCTGAAGCCCTATAGCTTGTAATTTTGTGGTTTCTGAAGACCTACATATTTCTTCTGCAGTTTTTAAGTCTAAATCTTTACTTAATAATTTTTCTTGGGGACTTAAATTTCGAATACCTAGCACAATTCTGTCTTTTATCAAAGACTCATCTTATGTTTTAAAGTTACAATGTTTCTCCATGATTTTCAAATCCTTTAAAAAATGATCAAAACTTTCACCTTTTGCTTGAGAGCGAGAAAAGAATTGGAATCTATTATAAGTTACATTACTTCTATGTTTGCAATAATTATCAAAAGCCTCTACTCTACTACCTTCTCGTACTTTTTTTTCTCTGCGTCTGTTAACTTGAATGTATTGAACACATCAATAGCTATTTTACTTTCCTCAGATTTATCTTGTAACCCTGTTGCTAACAGTTTTTTTTCTTGAATTTCTCATAATCACTAGCTAATTGCTGATCAAAAGATGAAGATAAGGGCAATTTTATATCCATGATTGGACTAGTATGTAACTTCTAACCTCACAAATTTACTGGTTTATTTCTTCGTTTATTTTACAATGTTCTTCCAAGTTCCAACTGCTGCTAGCACTAAACCACTATTTTGTCAACACCTGACACCATGTTACTTATTTGTTTAAAGATTATTCGCAATAAAATAACTATTAATGAACAAGTGAACGTTTATTGACCATCTCTGTATCATGTCATGACTGATCTTGGCGCCACCCAAAATTTGACAGATGACCAGTGGCTGTCTACATAAAGGAGTACGTTCAAGAACATGTAACAGTGGCACACCTCAAAAAATCACTATGCCTATTTGAAAAGCTGTAACTTTTGTAATTTAATTCAGATTGTGAAACTTAAAATCTGTTTTTTTTTTTCTAAGATAAAAGTCAAAATGACATTATGTTGGCAATACAATGTAAAATTTTCAATCTTTCAAATTTTTTATGTAGAAAAGGCTTGTGTTGCCAACATAGTTACTAAATTTTTGACTTGGGGAATTATTTTAAAAAAAAACGGACTTTAGGTAGTTTTGTTGAACTGATGTTTTCCAGGATTCTCTAACTTTCTGTGTTTCTTCTACCTCTCCTCTCCAGATAAGTTAAAACATGCATACGTCTATACAGTTTTTCATAAATTACCTTTTTTTTTTTCTGTACTATTTTGCTTGTACTTACTCTTACTTATGTACACTTGGCCAATCATAAAACTGGTACGCCTTTTCACATTGTGTGGTGTTGCGTAAATCGACCTTTTTTATCATATACAGTGTGCGCCATAAAGTTGGGTACATATGGGAAAATTTTTAATTATTCCTTTTTTCAAAAAACTTTTTTTGGGAATCGTTAGGGCATGTTCGATAACCAAAAAATCGATTATGACACATGTCATGCGATTATCGGTTTAGCGGGAATTTTGAAAAAAGTTGATATTGATGTCGAAAAACGGGTAAATTTGGCAAGATATGAAAAAATATTTATAAGAAAAAGTTGTTCAGAATCCAAAAAGAACTCCACATGCTGATTTTGAAGCAAATCAGAGAAAAAAAAAATAAAACTACTTATTTTACCCCCTACCATCAAATGGAAAATCGAAAATATCAATTTTATTTCAAAAATAGCTTTATTCAACTAAACTACATAAGTTTGATATCAAACGAATCGATTGTTTTGCGAAATACACATTTGAAGGTCATAAATTAGAAAATACCGTCCGGTCGTGTCGCTATAACTGTACCCATGTCACTTTTTGCACATTTTCGGGTCATCAGAAAAATAACATGACATGTGTCATAATCGATTTTTTGGTTATCGAACATGCCCTAACGATTCCCAAAAAAAGTTTTTTGAAAAAAGGAATAATTAAGCATTTTCCCATATATACCCAACTTTATGGCGCACACTGTATATATGCCTTTCCTATAGCTTTTGATGAGTCATCATCTAGATAACAGGCTGTCTTTAATTTCAAAATTCTTCAACAATTCATTTACCTAATTTTCAATATTTTTTCTGTACCTATCTACTTACATCTGATTTCATCAACCTAACCTCAGCTCTTTTGCTATTCTTGCGCGTACTACTACACCATCTCTATGAGAAATGTCTTAACTAAAGTAAGTACTGGTCATCGATTTTTAACTGTCACTTTCCGTATGAGGAGCGAGGGGGTGCTTCATATGGCAAAAACAAATGTGACGTCAGGTAACCATTGGAGTTCTAATGTAGGGAGCCACCAGCTCACATTTCGTCCGAGTATCAGATTAAAATCGACGGACAATATACAATAACCATCGTCCATCAATTCCAAGGATAATACCTCAGACTATTAATAAAATAGAACTGGAGACCAACGTGCCATTCAGAAATTGCCCAATGTTTACAATCAAGACCTATAGAACGGCAACACTGTCGCCTGTCGATTTTACCACTACCAGTAGCTTTGTTTTGGTTTCAATCAGAACTAGTTGAGAATCATTGTGCACATGCGTGTTCTGAAACGCGTTTCCATTTCTTCAGAATCGAACTGTGTTACCAGCGTTTTGGTTTATTTAGAACTATATAAGAACAGTTCTGGGATTGTTCTAGAACGGTTATCTCAGTTCTTGCTCTGAGGGAGGAACTGTTTCGGAATTTTGTGATTTGCGGCTTGTTTAACACCCGTAAGCACTGTATAAGACTTGGGAGTTTAATCTCGCTTAGTTCGAAAAATTTACATATAAAAAAGAAGTGCTAATCTGGTTTAAGCAACTAATCTGAGTCCTTATACTGTGCATTTGGGCGTTAGTTTTATGAATTCCGAATCGGTTCAGAATTAGTATTTAGAACAGTTCTCCATTATCGAGTTCAGTTTCATCTTAATTTTTTCCAGCATGTGATAGAAGTTTCACTTACCATATATTACATAGGTACTAATAGCGTATTTCGTTGGTAGAGCAAGTGCAACACTGGTGCAATATTCCTGATCCATTGGCAAAGTCCGCGCTGCACTTTAGTATTTCATTGGGAAAGCAATGCACTGAGTTCTGTTAGTGCGCCACCGGCTAAAAAGCTAATGTCGCACCAATGAACTATAGCAAAAAACTGGAATGCGCGCACATTGCCATATCTGCCCAAAAAATGAAGCCACAAGGGGGAATGTTGTTTTTTTCTGTTGCTCGCTGACATATGACGTTTTCGAAAGTTTTGTCATATTTTCCTTCACAGGTTTCATCAATTGGATTACGTGTGGAAGCAATTTTCGCCATTTAACATAATGAGTGCGACAAAAACAGGTATCCCCTCCGCAGCAGCTGCACTAGGCTTCACGTTCTTCCTTATGTGTTAGCATTCCAGTTTTTGGTTATAGT